CTGGATTTGGGATCAACAGGTGGCAGCTCGTTACAGGTAGTTTTAGTCCAAATTCTATCTCTTTCAAAGAGATGATGAAGCTGAGTCCCAAAATTCCAATTTAGCACCCCAAAAGGGGCTGAGTCAAATCCTCACTTTTCTTCATACCACTTCTAAACAGGATTTCTCAACCCCATTGGCATGAAAAGAACTGTGGCAATGTGTTACCTTTCCTTATATTGGTTTCTCTGCTCTCTAGGGTACTACATGTTCATTGAAGCCTCTGCACCCCGAGTGAAGGATGACAAAGCTAGGCTGATCAGCCCTACGTACAACATGACTGCCAGATTCTGTGTCTCCTTCTATTATCACATGTATGGGAAGCACATTGGTAAGTAACCTTGAAGGACTGCTGCTCATTGGAATGGAGAAAGAACACTCTGAGATTTAGAGGGATTGCCTGTTCATTGCAAATTACAGGGAAATAATGCTCTCAAGTGTACAATGTGCCAGATCTGTTTTACGAGGGTGATTGTCAGTGTGGATTGTTGTTTTATTTCTTGGCACTGGAGTTGTGTTCAGGCAAATAATACTTTTTGTTTTGCTATTTGAAAAGCAATACCAAAGTTGAATCCTGAAGAGGACATCTCCATCTCTCTCATGATTTGTATACATGATTACTTCATCTCTGTCTTTTGTCAGTTCAAGCTCTAGTGCAGAGCTGAAATTGTGGAATACATTGTATAGGAAGACAAATGACATATAACTGTGACACCCTGATACTGAACACGAGCAGCTGTATAAATTGCTTCTAGTTTCTAAGCCTTCAGAATAGACTTCGTCCATTTGATCCTGTCCAGATACTGGAATACAACTCTGAGAGTTCCCATTATGCTGGCTGAGAATTTGGGGTGTTGTGATCCAACATATGAGATTTGGAAGGCTGCTTTAGCAGAACATCCTCACTATTTTTCAGATATTCTATACTATATACTATAAGAGTTAGAAGCTTTGGTGTTTTCAGATGAGGCTTCAGACTTTAAAAAGTTAGGAGAGTTTTTACATGTATGATTGTTAGAGGCATGGTTATGGCCAACTTAATTCTTTTTATCCTATGCTTCTCATGTGATATACCTTCATCATTTTTGCCTTTCTGATTCTAGTTTATAGGAGAATCCTCCTAAGAAGGGATTCTCTTACATTCCAACTTTTCATTGAGATATTACGTGGGATTGGATTGGATTGGATTGGATTGGATTGGATTGGATTGGATTGGATTGGATTGGATTGGATTGGACTGGACTGGACTGGACTGGAGAGTGGACAGTAATTGTTTATTAGAATATTTGGGGTCTAGTTTGAGGAATGCTTAGAAGGACTGTTTGAGGAGGACTGTCAAAATATCAGTAGGGCTTTTCTGGTTACTACTGTGGTTTAAAGAGAGTAAACAAGATCCAGAAAATGACAAAAACCATGTGCAAATAGGAGTTTGTTTTATGAGGCAAAGTCATTTCAAAGGACATCTCTCTCCCCCTCTTCACCTCCTGTCTCTGATTGTTGAGATGAAGCTGTACATGGGCAAATGCCACAAAAATGCCTAATGAGTTTCCATATTCAGTCAAGGAGCAATTGCTAATTTGTCACCTCTTGATTATAATTTCATTAATTTGAATAATAAATGCACTCTTTCAAAAGCCACTAAGTTATTAATCACCTGCTGGACTGAGAAATCAGGGCCCAGTCAGTAGTCTGTCTACCTATTGATAAACAAGGCTGGTAAACAGAGTTAATTAACATCTTCCTCAATCTAAACACATGAGATATCTCCAAGTGGATGTTAGTCTTTTGCACCTTTTTTTACATACAGAAGAAAAGAGAATGACTGTGTTAGACTATGACTCCTTGACAGTATGAAGACCCACGTTTGCCTCATTGAGAGCTATGCCATGCCAGGCATGGACATACAGAAGTCTTGTTTCACATTAGAACGTGAGTGCCTTTAAGATTGTATGATATAGGCCTGTGGCAGGATTGTGTCATTTTGTTCTTGTCTGGTAAATTTTGGACATTTGTTGGTTAATTGTTAGATTTTACCATTAAGTAACTGTCCTGCAGAATGGACTTTTATTTCGAGTACTGGAAATATAGACAGATACCAAGAACATCTCTCTTAAATTTTCCTTAAACAAGATCAGGATGTCTTATATATGGGAATATTATTTTTTTTAAAATATGACAATGCTGGGTAACCTGCAGGCTGTGTGTATTTTGCCCAATGACCTTTTGGGAGATCCCAAAGCAGTCTGGGGTACAGCCACTGAAATTTGGTGGTAAAATGGCCAATTTTAACTTTTAAGACCAGAAAATTAGGCTGAGAAGGGAGCCCAGGGCCTTTGGGAGGTGAACCAGTCCCATTTTAACCCTGTTCTACAAACCCTCTAAACTATCCGAAAAGCAGCCCATCAATTTTCAGCCCAACACCTATGACTCACAGGCCAGTCAAGAAGAAGAGATGTGGCCATTAGGCCAAAAACAAAAATGGATGATCTCTGGATTAAGGGAATAGCTAACCACCATCACCACTTCACTGGTTCAAGCATTACTTAGGGCATTGCATATTGCTGCAATTATATGTACATTGCCTTGGACCATTTCTGCCTACTAATATATTTAGTTTTGAATACAACAATTAAGAAAACCAGATAAACATTTATGAATCCTTTCACCCACCCAAATCCACCTGTACTCCTGAGTATTCATCATCTTCCAAACCTCTTTAGAACACTGCTAGTTCCTCCACTGAAACTTTAGACATTTCTCCATTTCCCTCAAGCAATTCCAAGAACCTCTTAAATTTGCACAAGGTTGCTGCATTGTTTTGTTATGATGTTTTGAGATGTCCCTAAGTGTCCTGAAGTTAAAGTAAAATCTTCCTTGAGGCTGATGTTCTGGGTACTTGGAGATTTCAATGTAATTTTCTTGGCAGTAGCAGAGAAGCATTTTTGCTATTGACTTTTATGAGGTTTTTTTCCCCCATTTCCTAATTTAGCCTATAATCCAGGACTTTCTGGTGGCCTCCCATCCAAGTGGTTAACTTTTTGGAATCAATCAAGATTGGCTAGATGTTGCAACCTGAGGTGGCATGTACCAAAAAAAGAGGAAATAAATTATTAAAAACCCAACAAGGTGTACATGCAGTCAGAGACAGAAAAATGAGAATTTTGTTTCCCTTGAAGACCTCAGTGCAATAATAAGGGGAACTGATCATTCATCCCAACATTTAAGCCTGCCTGCCTGCCCACTGTTCTGCTAGTTCTGGCACTCATCACTTTTGTTTCTGTTTTTAATTATTTTTCTTTAATTTTGGAGGGCATCTGGACCAAATCCAAGGTATATTTCTTAATAAGCCAGGATGCTTCAGTAAACTGAGTGAGTTTGCCTAAACATGTGATAGCTTGCCATGATCACTTCTCAGCTTGCCTCTTGTTCAGCAATTGCCTGAGGTGATAAGTGAGAAGGAATTGTTACAGTGGTTTCACTGCTCAAGTAAATGGCTTCAATTATCATGAGATAAACATAATTCCTACTAATTCTGAGTATAAAAATCATACATCGTATTATCCTGTATCACTTTGAACTAATATGTGTAAGTTCTCTAGTTCAAGAGAAAAGGATATTAGTTCTGAAGATGGGCTAGACAGCCCAGTTCTTTCTAGATGTTTGTTGAGTTGTAAATCCCATAAGCACTGATGTAATCCAAAACATCTGGAGGTAACAGTTGCTTACTTCAGTCTAGAGACCCGTCTTTCCCATCCTTGAAATGTGAATTTGGCTGCAGGTCTGTAGCAAAGGTAAAACGAAATGGGACTGGTATGATCAACTCCCTTGAATTCTTTTGCCAGTGGCTTCACAGCAGAGCCTGGCGAATCATGTCCTTTTCTCAGATTCATCATGTGCACATCACCACTCCCCATCATTGAGTGGCTGAATCCCATTCCGCTATGGAAGGAGAACGCTGTACAGTCTGACATGTATTTATTTTTTTAATAACCAGTTTATGACCTTTTTTCTTTCCTGATTTTCTCAGCACAACTCAGAAAGCTAGTTTGCTCTCCACAATTTGACTATAAAATATCCATAGCCATCCAGGCAAATCTTCCCAGAGAGAGTTTCCAGACACTGCTCATTTATAATGTGTATGACGAAAGAGAGATGCAGAATACAAATGGAGTGAATGTAGCCAGAGTATAAAATATTCAGTAACTAATAGAGTAGGGTGATGTTGAATATCTCTCAGCTGAGTAGGCTGCCGGGTGCAGGGGGAGCTCTCTGGAGGCCATTCACATTTCTTCTAATTTATTTGGCTGCTGTGCTTTCTGATTCTCTCACGCATGTGCATGCACACAGACACGAATTTTTCTTTCTTTCTTGGTCTTTTCCATGTTTTTCTTGTTGTGTCTGAGTTACAGTAGGCTTCCTTTGACCTGTGGTCCACAGAGGACTTGAAATACCTCAAAAAAACAAACATGGACCCCTCTCAGCCTCTTAGAACCCATGCTGTGGCTTTGTAGCTAAT